CCTTAGTCTTCCCATCGGTCACACCAGGATCCACTTATTGCTGACACTTCAGGGTTCAAAGGTCCACTCTGTCCCGTGAGTGTGTGCATGTGCACATTCATGCATACATAAGTATGTGTTTGTGTGCGCGCGCGCACATACGTGCATGTGGGGGTGTGCATCTATGTGTACGCACAGAGGATCATGCGTGCGTGTGTCTGTCTCCCTCTTGGACATCTCCACCCCCTCTCTGCACACACCCCTCATCTCTCGAGGTGCCCGCGCCCGCCTCCTCCCAGCTTCCGCCCACACTCAGGGCCTCACCTGCCGCACCCTCCTGGATGGGCGTTTGGGAATTGCAGACCTGGGCTGAGAAGACCAGGGGAGGCACCAGCGCTATGGAGTTCAAAGCTCATCACACGAAGATGGGCCTGTTTATTTGCATGGCACGCATTTGTCTCTGACTGTTTTACCCACCCCCTGAGCCAATTGAAGAGTTATCAATTTATCCTGCCCTCACGGAGAGACCAGATTGGAGGCGCGCACGCACATTCACAGAAGCCCAATATAGACTTCCAATTATCTTTTAATTTCGCTCCTGTCTTCATTTGTTCATTTCACTTTTTCCAAACAGACTGACAAAAAAAAAAAAAGCTGTAATTTATGGAGTCTGAAGGCAGCTAGTTGAGAGTGTTGTGTTCACCTGTTCAGGGTAGAGTTGAAAGCTCACTTGCAGCAGCCCTACAGGGGAGAAAGGTGCCTGCTAGGGACTCCCCTACCCGCCCGTCCTGCCCCCCATCCCCACCCAAGTCCCAGCTCTCCTGACTCTCGGTCATAACTATACCTTCTTATTCTCTGTATTCTTGATGCTCTGGCACCAAGACCCGCTCCCCTTAGATGGGAAGGGACTGCCCCTCCCAGGGTTAGCTAGTTACCTGATAGCAAATGACCCAAGATAGGAGCACACCTTTCATGTGCAGATGAGCCAATCCAAAGCCGTCACCACCCACCACCTCTGCAGGTTCTTACAAGGCTCTTCCACCTCAGGGCCAATATCGCCTGCCCTGATCGGCCCAGGACCAGGCATCAGACAATGGGGACAGCCCGGAGCCCCCTGGAGTTATTGAAGCTGGCCAACCTGAAGCTGTTAACCCTGCCTCATCTGTTCCTCCCCAGGGGAAGCACAAGAAACATTTTTACACATTCCCTTCACCCGCCCTCCCCCCTGCTGCCCCTGGTGCTTCCTGCGCACCGCCAGCCCACTGTGGAGTGACAGGTTGGAGAAAGGGGAACGCCTCCTGGGAACCGTGAGCAACAGACTATCTTTACAGCAGCAGCCATCTCCTGACGGGCTGGCCTCGCAGGACCTGAGTGGTAATAAAGCCTGCATTCCGAAACAACCTCAGATGGCTGTGTGCGCTGAGAGCCGCACTGGGGGGCGGACGGTGGGAAGCCTGTTAATACAGGCCTGCTCCAAGCTTGGTGTTTCACGGGAGTCCCTTCTGCCCTGGAACTAGGGGAGGGCCCGGGAAGCGCCGAGTCGGGGTTCAAATCGGAGCCCCCGTGTGCACAACCTGCAATCTGCTCCGAGATCCAACCTGGAGGTCTTCACACAGTGTCATGGCTCTCGTGTCACCCAGTTTTCCTCCGACCTTGTTATTTCCCCCCTTCTTGGCCTTCCCTGTTCCTGCCACATCAAATGTCCTCTCCACCTTTTTGTCCTCGCCTGGTGCCGGGGCTCCTGTTTCACTCTCCCATGGAACCGATGAGCTTTGTCGCACTCACCTTCTTCCCCCAGAGTCTTAGTCCCCACGGGTGCAGGGTCCGCGTGTGTCTCCTTAACCTATATCACTGCATCCCAGCACACGGCCTGGTACATGATAAGCATCTGATAGCTATTTGTTCAATCCATCCATCAATCAGTCTAAGCCCCTGCTTCCTTTCTCAATAGTCAATGCTCAACACCTCTGTCTGGAACACTTTCCTGACCTCTATCCTGACTCCCCTTGCTCCAGGCTCCCGGGCTGTCTGCTAGCCCAGCTGTACTTTGTCAACAGGCATCTGTTGACAGATGACCTCATTAACTTTTCCTTTGTGATACATTGTGGATTGATCATATTGTGAGTGCATGTGCCATCTTCCCGATCAGGACATTAGTCCCCTGGGGCTGAGACTGTTGTCTTCTGGTCTCCGTGCCCCTCCCACCCTCCTACCTCCCCCTGCTGCCCAAGGGGCTTGGTTTGGCCACACCCACTGCCCAGGAGCAGGTTCCAAAAGGAGATTGACTGAAAAGGTTTCACCGGAGCTTAGAGAGAACACTCCAGGGCACAGAGGAGCATTTGTTGGTTAGAAAACCTCAAGCCAGAGGGGCTCAGACCCTGCTCGCTGGGTGGCATCCAAGAGGACAATACCAGGTCACAACATGCTAATGGGATATGCAACAAGCCTTTCTCTATCCAAGGGTATGAGAGTCCCAAAGCTGTCCCTACTTCTGGAATGGTCACTTGGCCACAGGAGGCCCCACATAAGCCCCCAAAGCCCTGCCGCCACCCCAGCAGACAACCTCTTTTTTGCCCTTCCTACCTCGTCTTCTCCTTCCCTGAGGCAGATGCATAGGCCATGCAGCCACCGAGACCTGGTTATCAATCAAGACCCTGCCACTCCCAACCTATGTGTGACGGTGGCACGTCGCTCTGAGCCTCAGTTTCCTCTCAGGATTACTGGAAAATGAAATGACTTGACTTATACAGAGTGCCCGGGGCCTTGGCCCCCATTCCCTGTGACTACCCTTGGCGATCGAGGACACAAACTGCTCACCCACCCAGGGCGCAGCGGAATCAAGCAGGTCGGTAGAAAAGCCGACCTGCTTCGCGTTCCTAGACCCACTGAAATCTCCTGCGCGGACCTTTAAAGAACGTGGATTTGCTGGGAGCTACCCAAACCTCCTGACTCAGTCAGGGGCTGGAGGGGGGGAGCTGGGAAACCTGCCTTTCTAACGAGCACCCCCAGTGCCTCCATCCCTGTGGAATTCAGAATCACTGACTTGACCATCATGGAAAGACAGGAGACCCTGCCCAGTCCCCGTGGGGCAGGCGGAGGAGACCCGACTCCTGAGGAATCCCACCTGCTCAGGTCTGTAAAACCCTGGGGTCCAGGAGCAGACCCAGAAGTCCCCATTTTTGAGCAAACTGACAGAACCTTGGAGCGGCCGTAAAATGGGTGACAACTGTGTCTTTCCCAAACACACACTGAGCATGAGATGCGATTCATCCAGTGCGCCCACCCCCCTGTACCCATGGCAAGGCACAGTGCGTGTCGGCTGTTGTCCCAGTTGTGCCTGGTCCCATCTGGACCTTGGGGACTTAGCATCCAGCGGGAGGAGAACAGAGTGCACGTTGACCCGTGGCCCATGAGAGAGGCTGAAAGAGGAGCTGAGAAGAACGAGAGACCCGAAGAAGGAGATGGTCCCGGGAGGGTGGAGGCACCAGGAAAGACGGCATGGGAAGGCCTTGCCTTTGAACTGACTGTGCAGGGCTGGAGGGACTGGACCAGCGAAGACAAGGAAAGTCAGCCAGAGCCCCAGCCTGGAGCCCGACATGCCAGGCAGCCAAAGGAGAAGAATTTGGAGGGGTAAGCTGAGGCTGGAGCGTCACGGGCTGTGAACACAGGCACAAGCCAGGATTTTCTCCTCGCCAAGGCTTCAGAGCCAAATGCTTCTCCCTCATGTGTTTCCCTTGGCTCACAGAGTGGGTTTGATTCTCATCTTTAATGAGATGCCGTCATTTAGAAATCAGGAGGGATCGCATCACTATGTAGAGTAAGCGTCCCTGAAACAGCGGGCTCTGGCAGCGGGGCCCTGCCCGCCGGGCACCACCGCACAGTGGGCCCTCGATTTCCCTGCCTGGCCCCTGTAGGGAGTATGGGTTTGAGATCCCGACCCTGGCCTTCGGGGCCCCTGAGAGCACGACTCAATCAGTGCTTCAGAAGGTCCAGCTGAGGACGATTAATCGAGTGACTGATGTCACGGATGATAGTTACTGAGTTAGCAGAGGTGGCGCTCAGCCCTGCGAGCTCTACAGTTTGTTCTCACCACGACCTTATGAGGTCTGTGCTGCTCTCCCCATTTTTCAGAGGCGAGAATTGAGGCACAGAGAGGTGAGGTCACTTGCCTAAAGCACACAGCTGATAAGTGGCAGACCCAGATCGCCTGGATCTGGATCCAACAGCCCTGTGAGATGGTTCGGGCGAGTCTCCCTCGGCCCCTCATCCTAGGAGGCTGTCTGGTTTGGAAAGCAAGAAGGTGCCCCACGTCTGACCCTGATCTGGGTATAATGCCAAGTGTTTTTCCCAAGCTTTCTCAGAATGTCCAGTTCTCTTAGTCAGGAGGGCAGATGCATTCAAAGAGCCGGGTCAGGTGGCTTGGCGGCGGTCCTGGCTCAGCCTCCCCTGCTGCCAGCTGCAGACCTCAGCCCCCACTACGGGGACCGGCAGACCCCAACAGAAAGGAAACAGACCCAGGCGGGTCTCTTGCTACACCTGCTGTGACTCCACCTGTCCCACACTCACCACACCCAATCCTCCTAGCTCAGTCAATTTGCAAAAGAGAAAATAAAGATCACACACAAACAATAACCACCCCCATGCGTTTCCTAGCATCGGATGACTGTTTGGTGAAGAACTTCCCTCCCTCTTCATGTGCTGGCTGGACACTCCTAACATCTTCCTGCTGCCGCTGGCTCAGGTGGCTGATCACAAGTTCAGCCCCCGGGGCTGACCCACGACCCCTCCTGAGGAAAGCACTGCAGGATCCAAGGAGGCCAGCACCGAGCCCTGCCGACTGGGGCTCCTGGTGCCGCCTTCTGCCAGCTCAAAGTCACCTTTGCTTCAACTCCTCAGCTGGCCAGCCAGAGCCAGCCCAGAACCCCCTCCACTCCGCTCAGCAGGAACAAGGAACCGGCTCCTATTGGATAATTATTAATCAGATTCTTGAGATTCCTCAGCCCCAGGTTGGCTTGGGAAGCATGCTCCCTGGAGGAGGAGGAGCCGAGGCCCAGGACTGGCATTTGGACATGCAGCTGACCGGCAAGGTGGTGCTGTCCGCCGCCGCTCTGCTCCTGGTGACCGCAGCCTACAGGCTGTACAAGTCGAGGCCCGCCCGAGCCCCACTGTGGGACAGGAACACCACGGCTGAGGCTGACGAGGCGGCGGGAGGCTCCAGACAGCCTGAAGTTCAGGCGGCTGCACCTGGGGCACCCCATCGCGGGCTGAGACGCCGGCGGGGGAGCACGGGGCCTGGGGCACGACTGGGCTGCAGCGGGGACAATCCGGGGGGCCCCCAAGTCCTGGCAACAGGAGCCTCTTCCAGTGACTTGGGAGCCAAAGAGGCTTGGAAGCCGGAGAGGAAAGGCGCTGGTGAGGATCTGGGTGGGCGGTGCCTGGAGCCTAGCGTGGCACCTCCTCGCTGCAGTGGCCAGGAAGCCGGAACAGCTGCTGGCAGTAAGTCCGAGCTGCCCCGCCACCCCCACTTGGGCAGTGAACCCAAACGCTCCCCACCTGGCCTTGCTGCAGTGGACAGTAGTGGTGCGGAGGGTGAGCCTGCTCCATGGCGGGATGGGGGACTCCCCGAGCAGCCAGGGACTGGAGTGCAGGCACCCCACCGTCCACCCTTGACGGCCCACTCAGAAGACAACAGTGACATGAACAAGAGCCGGGTCCTCACTCACATGACAGGGGTCTGTGGGGAAGAGGCTGGGGCCCTCCGGGCTGCCTCAGACATGGGCCTGGCCCTGCAGCAGCAGCAGGGGGCCACCAACACCTCCTACACCTTCTCATCGGTGGCCCGGGTTCGGGTAGAGGAGAACTTCATGAGGGAGAAGATGGCGGGGATCAGGCCCAGGCTGCAGGGCAAGGTATATGAGTACTACGTCGAATCTACCTCTCAGTCCACCTCTAGAGGCAGGCCGACTCCTCGGACAGCAGCGCTGGCTGAGGCTCCACCTCCTGTGCCAGGCCCCCTGGGAACAGGGCCAGTCCCCCAAGGCCACAACGAGGACAGAGAAGGTGGAGCCCATCCCGCCGCCTCCTCCCAGCCTGTGCTCTCGCCCCCCACGCAAGGCTTCAGCAGGAAGGAAAGCCTCCTTCAGATCGTGGAGAACCCAGAGCTTCAGCTGCAGCTGCACGACTTCGGGAGCCCTGCTCCATCCCGCCTGGACCAGAGTGCCCCACCCAGCTGCCCCACCTCAGGGGAGCCTCCAGAGTCCAGCTCAGAGGGAAGCAGCGGGGAGCCCAACCTGCAGCTCGTGGCAGGGACCAACTTCTTCCACTTCCCTCTCACCCCAGGTTCAGCCCCAGATGTCCACCTGGATCTGGGGAATTGCTACGAGGTGTTGACCTTGGCCAAGAGACAGAACCTGGAGGCCTTGAAGGAGGCTGCCTACAAAGTGATGAGTGACAACTACCTCCAGGTCCTACGCAGCCCAGATATCTACGGCCGCCTGAGCGGGGCAGAGAGGGAGCTGATCCTTCAGCGGCGGATGCGGCGGGGCCGCAAGTGCCTGGTGGTGGCCGACATGTGCCCCCAGGAAGATGCTGGCCGCCTCTGTTGCTATGATGATGAGCAGGATGTCTGGCACCTGCTCACCCACCTGCCCCCTGAGGCTGTGTCCCGGGGCTGTGCCATCTGCAGTCTCTTCAACTATGTCTTTGTGGTGTCTGGCTGCCAGGGGGCCGGGGGCCGGCCCTCCAACCGAGTCTTCTGCTACAACCCTCTGACCGAGATCTGGAGCGAGGTGTGCCCACTGAACCAAGCCCGGCCACACTGCCAGCTGGTGGCCCTGGATGGGCACCTGTACGCCATTGGGGGCGAGTGTCTGAACACAGTCGAGCGCTATGACCCTCGCCAGGACCGCTGGACCTTTGCCCCGCCACTCCCCAACGACACCTTCGCCCTGGCGCACACAGCCACGGCGTGTGCCGGGGACATCTTCGTCACGGGCGGCACGCTGCGCTACCTGCTGCTCCGCTTCTCAACCCAGGAGCAGCGCTGGCAGGTCGGCCCCACGGCGGGAGGCAAGGATCGCACGGCTGAGATGGTGGCAGTCAATGGCTTTCTCTACCGCTTTGACCTCAACCGTAGCCTGGGCATTGGTGTGTACCGCTGCAGTGCCAGCACCCGGCTCTGGTACGAGTGCGCCACGTACCGGACTCCCTACCCGGACGCCTTCCAGTGCGCCGTGGTGGACAACCTCATCTACTGTGTGGGGCGCCGGTGCACGCTCCTCTTCCTGGCTGACTACATCTCACCCAGGTTTGTGCCCAAGGAGCTGCGGAGCTTCCCCTCCCCCCAGGGCACCCTCCTGCCCACTGTCCTCACCTTGCCCGGCCCCCACATGCCACAGACCAGAGTCTAGCCGCCTTCTGCTGGGCAGCCCCTGCCCACAGCTCCATGGGCCACTCGTGGGAGACGGGGCAGCCAGGAATTTGGCCAACAGAAGGTGAATTCTAGTCCTACCCCCTTTGCTGGCTGGGGTTCTGGGGTGCGTCTTTGCTGTCAGTGGGCTGAAGAGGGCAAGGGTGAAAACAGAACTAGGGACTGGTGTTCTGAGACCAGGGGCAGCCACATCTCCAGGCCTGGCTTCAAGTCTGAATTTTGGGGGGCTCTAGGACCGCAGCACATCTCAGGGGCATGACCTTATCACAGCTGTGATTCAGGTGCCAGTTGACCCCCAGTGACCCCTCAAGCTGACCCCAGTGGAGATCGGCTCCTTCCTAAACATTGGTCCAACTGCCAAGATTCCCAGAAGCACCTGGAACACACAGGTGGAAAAAATCAAGGGAGGTGGTTCAGGCAGGACTGGAAGGGGCCCAGGGCAGCCCCAGGGGCCCCAGCCAGAGAGGGAGACAGCAGGGGACGCCAACAGCTAAAGCTGGAGGGTTTGGTTTGGTTTTGTTTTGTTCTGTTCTGTTTTGTTTTCTTTCATTGTCTTGTTTGGCTGCAGAGTAAAGTAACAAAAGCCCACTTCAGTTTTCCTCATGAGAACCCTCCATTTTTAGCAGCCATTTGACAACGTACATCTTCTCCTCGGGGTCCATTAAGAATATAGTTGATCTTGGAAGAGGCAGAAGATGTGATCCAAGGGCCACTGTCCGCCCAGGGCCCACGGACCCTCTCCCCAGATCTTAGAACCTGTATCTTAGAACGATACAGCTCTCCCAGGAGCCCAGCCTCACCCCTGGGGGTTGGGGGCAGCCACTGCTGACCAGCCGACCCTTTGGGGCTGGTGAGAGCCGATGGCCCTCCCTGTGCCATGTTGCCACCCGGTCAGCATCAGACAGGAGACGACCAGGGAGGGGCGGGCCCAAGAGGGAGCTGAGGCACTGGAAGTGACACATCAGGGGGCTGGGATCCCCTTCCCCACCAGGTTTGGTAACTTCTCAAAGGGAAGAAACCTCCAACCCCAGGAAGGTACCCATGGACCTGCGGGGAAGAGAGAGGGACTGGTCCAGTCTCTAACCACAGCCCTGCTCCATCTCCCAGGGAGAGGCCCCCACACGCCAGTCAGGCTCTTGGTCCCAGCCGGCAGCCAGGGGCGGGGACTCCTTCTATGCGACAGGCAGCGTGGAGGAAAGAAGTAGAGATCGGGGTGCACCTGGGCAGGGCTGAGAGGTCGGAGATAAGGACGCTGTGGACTTCAGCGTCCCTATCTTGGAAATGGGAAGGACAATCCATGCCCTTCTCTGCTGGGGCAGAAATGAGAGCATCGGAGAAAGTTCTTCCCAAGTCCCTGGGATCCTGGCAGGAGCCTGTGTTCCCTGCAGCTGCTGGGGCTCAGCTGGGGGTCATTTTGGAAGATGCAGGATTGGAACAAGGAATGAGAGGGAGTGAGGGCTTTCAGGGGACCACACAAGGCTCAGCGCCCGGGAGGTGAAGCTGCTTAGTTTATTACTAAACTGGAGGTTGAGAAAGGAAAGTAGCTAAGATCGGTGCCTGGGAAGGGTGATCCCTTGCCAAGGCTATGCTCAAGGTCAGAGTCAACACTCAGACATGAACCTCCAAGTGACCCAGGGGGTTGGGGGGTTGCCTCAGTAACATGACTGGGAGGTGGCAATGGTATGGTGATGCCAGGCTGGGGTTTGCTTGAGAGGGGAACCCCACCTGGGAACCGGGGGAGGAGCTGGTGAAGAGCCAGGGGGAGGGCAAGCCCATTGTGTACGTATGGTAGGGACGAGGGAAACAGTCCCAGGGCCAAGGCGGCGAAGTTTGTTCCAGACGCATCGATGGCAGGCGTGGTCCTCACAGTGACAGGTAGACTTGAGCTTTGAGCCTGGGCTGAGCTGGAAAGTAGAGACACATGGTCTCTTCCTCCCTGTGGTCCCCTGGCCGACAACGCTAACTGATTGTCATCCCTCTTCCTGTTGAGCCTTTCTAATGGCCTCAGAGGGGCTTCAGCACAGGGCCTTGGGCATCATCGCCCACTAGAGCTGGAGTGTTTCTCATCGCTGGCGCTGGGTTAGGGATGAGCGTGGTCAGGGCCATTGCGGTAGAGCAAGGTCGTCCAGGGGCCACAGCCACCCCCGGGAGCCCCGCGTGTCAGGGCGCGGTGACAGAAGGCTGAGGCCGGGCACAGTTCCTGGAGCTGGAGGCGCTGCAGGGGCCTGCGCGGATCCCCGCCCTGCAGGGCTCACATTCTATTGGAGGAAAGCAGGCAATTTTGAAGAACTAATATGTAAATAAATAGAACCTGTGCCAGGTCAGTGCCATGGAGATAGAGAGGGCAGGCCAGTGGGATAGTGTGAGCGGGTCTTCCCGACAAGAAGACATCGAGCAGAGGCCTGCATGGGAATCTGGGGGCTACATAGACCAGGGCTGGCTCAGGCCACGGGAAGCCTGGCCGTGCCCCCCGAAGGCCTTTGTCACAAGCACAAGGGTCTGCCTCCTGGGAGCTCCATCTCAGTGTGTGAAGAGGGCAGAAGCCCAGCTCTTCTGCCTTTCGTATACAGGAGGGAATCTTGTCCCACTAATGCTTATTTAAAAAAAAAAGCGGTCCTTACCCAGAGATAAACTACGTTCCTGAGAGAGGAGCAGCGTTTGCACAATTAGGGGTGAAAGTCCAAATAACTACCAGGACACCTCTGATGCCATGCCCGGGGGTGTGGCTGCACGTCAGCAGGCCCACGTGAGTCCACGGGTGCCGGGTCTAGGATTTCCAGTTGGCCTGGCCTGTCGACCTGTAGCCCGCAGCCTCTGAGCAGCCTCTATGTCAAATAAAGCTCCTCCCTGGGCCATCTGGCCTGCAGTCTCAAAGAATTATCTCTTCTTCAGGGGAAAAAAAAAAAAACTTAAGGTTTAAGTCTGGGCTGTTTTCTCCATAAGACTAACCATGCCAGTATAGGAAAAAGAAAAATTGAAAAATACAGAAAAGTATAAAAAATCTGCCCCCCCCCCCATTAACCCCCGCTGCGGTGTGCATGCCTCCAGCCTGTGTCTTCCATGCACGGATTTTTGTTGGGCTTGACTTTTGCCGAGGTGTGATGATGCTGAATATACAATTCAGTGGCTTCCTTTTTTCCACTTAGCTTTTGAAAATAAGCATTTTCCCGTGTTATTACAAACCCTCAGTAAACAACATTTCAATAGTTGCACAATATTCCGTCCAGCAGTTGTACCATGGTTTATTTAACATTCCCCCTCCTGTTGGGTCTGTAGTTTTTTTTTCTGTCACAAATAAAACGTCCCTTGTTTTCTTATTCATCTCTCTCTGGGGCCTCTATCAATATTTACAGGAGAAGCCCAGCCTAGGTCTTGTCTGGAAGAGCAGGGTTGTTAAAAGAACCACAGAAGCCACAGCATTTGCCTAGGGCTGGGCCCAGACCCCGCTCCGAAGGTAGGGCACAGGGCCTCCCTGGCAGGCGCCCAGCCTGAAAGGCAAGGCTGTCTGGAAGGGCCCCCCGGGGCTGCTGCCCTGCGGTGCTCCTGGAGCCAGGACGTGAGACAGAGCCCCGGTCCTGTGCAGACATGCAGCCCCTGCACAAGACGCTTTGCACGTATCATTTCATTGACCCTCACGACCACCCCATTTTACAGGTGAGAAAAATGAGGCTCAGAGAGATCAAAAGAACTAGCCTTCATGGCAAAGTTCAAAGACCCTCAGTGTCCTTGAAAGCATACTGGAACCAGGCCTGCTCCCCACAGGGTGGTCTTTCCGTTCCCCTCTCGGGGCACAGGAGCCAAGAAGCTGGCATCGGCTTTCACTTGGCTGTCCCCAATCCCTTCTCCACCCTCAGCACTCAATTATGCTCTGTCCTTGAACTCAAATAAACTTTCCTTCAACTCTCTGATCCTCGTTATCTTCATCTGTAAAATGGGTCTGCCCCTGCCAGCTCATCGTGGATGTTATAAGAACTAAGAGAATGTGCATGAAGCGCCCAGCCCGGGGACTGCTCCCAAGTCGGTCTCAGTGTCTTCCCGGGTGCAGGGGTAGGAGGGGGACTGCCCCGAGCCTGCTTGCTGGAAGGCCTTGCTGAGGTTTAAGCTGCAGGGATCCCATCTGGTTGGGCAAGGTCTGGGGTGTGCTCAAGTTATTGACGTTGTAGATCATCCAGGTTCGGAGACTCTGAGCCTCAAGGCCCCTCATCCGGGGTAAGAATGGACTGGCTACTAATTTGAGTTTCAGGCTCAAAGCATGAAACATTTGCCCAGGCTGCCCAACAGCGCAGAGGAGCCGCGGAAGCGGCTTGGAGCCCCAGGCACCGGCCGCAAGGACTCCGTCCTTTTACAGATTGGAAGTAAGAGCCCCTCAGGGTGACTGGGAGATGCTCAGATAGTTAGGGCCATGCCAGGTGCCCAGCACTTCCCGCATTTGTCACCCTGCCCTGAAAGGGCCTTGGGGCCCTATGGTGGCTCAGAAGTCCCCTGGAGCTGTGGCTGGGAGGAGCCCCCCAGGCAGCTGGGAGGCTGTGGCAGAGGGAGGGAGATGAGACAGAAAGGGAGGAAGTGTGTTCGGGGAGGGGAGACGCTGAGAAGGTAACTTGGGAGCCAGAAGAAAGGACAGCCTGCAGGAGCGTTTCTGCAAACAGCTCCCAGCCTCCGTTTTTTGAAACGTGGGATATGGGTCAAAATAAAACAAAAAATGAAAAAGCGATCGAGTCTGGGTTGCCTTTTTGTGTGCGGGGAGGAGGTGGAGTCCAGTAATAAGAACACCCGCGGAGCCTGCACTGGGCTCCGGGCAACTCGAATCCTCCCTGAGACACGTGGTCTGGAAGGGGTTACCCTCACCCCAGAGGGCAGGAAACGAAGACAAAACATTCCACAAAAATTAAAAATTACTATTTCATACCTATTGCTACCTCTACCTTTTTATTATTAAAAAACTGGGAGAGAGAAATGTCTCCATTGTCAATGTCTTCGTGG